TTTAAAATAATTATTTTCAGATTGACCACTACAGTTATAAATAAAAGCTGTACCACACCACAAAATTTAACACTTTGTTACAAAAACTAAACTGTGTACTTATATTAAAGTGAAAGTGTCAAATTAACAGATTTAAAAAGTAAAATCTTGTCCACTCATTTACTGGTGATCTTACAGGAATAGCTTAACTAAACCCAGGTTTTAACAGTTTTCAAATGGAACTTAATATCCTACATATCTACTAAAATGAGGCAGATTTTAATTAGCCTTTGGTAGATCTGCTTCCTTACATAAAAACGAAAGTAACTTTGTGTGTGTGTGTGTGTGTGTGTGTGTGTGTGTGTGTGTGTGTGTGTGTGTGTGTTACAGGACATGGTATGGATGATGCCCGTGTCACCCGAGCCATTTCTCTGTGTAAGAAAGTCATCAGCAGCTTCTCCTACAGCTGGAAGAAAAGAAGAGACCTGGCTGAAGTGCAAATCCAACTAGGTCTTCCAAGTCACCAGCTCATCACAGAGACAGCCACACGCTAGGGATCAAGGCTGCTGATGATTGATAGGGTTCTAGAGCAGGAAAGAGCCCTTTCCAAAGTGCTTTCTGCTGACATGAAAACCAGGCCTCTTGTTCCTACTTGGCAAGACATGGAGGTTCTTGAAGCAGTTCAGAAACCCCTGAAACCTCTACAGGATTTCACTGATGCTCTTTCAGGTGAAGACTACGTGACCCTGTCTTATGTCAGGCCGGTGCTACATCTTCTTAACAAAATTCTTCTGGCACCTGCAGAGGGGGAGAGTGCTCTCTGTAAATCCATCAAGACCAGCATTGTGGARTACCTCAACAACAAATTTGCAGACCCACCCACCAGTGACCTGCTGGACACTGCTTCTTTTGTCGATCCACGCTTCAAGGCCAAATACATCCCGAGTGAGAAAATGGATGCACTAAAACATAAAGTTATCTCTGAGGCAGAGTCTCTGCTCAGGTATAATGACAGCTGTTCATCTGACCTGCATTCCTCCACTGCGCATGAATCTGCAGATCTACAAGAAGCAGCAGTGGCAGCAGCCCCAGCAAAAAAGAAGAAATCTCTGGCAAGTTTCTTCCAGCACAACACAACTACGAGTACCACTTTCACACAGAGGGAGGCAATAGAAAGTGAACTTTCTAGCTATCTGTTTTCAGTTTGTGTAGAAAGTGATGCTGACCCTCTCAAATGGTGGAAGGAACATGAAGTTGTCTATCCTGCACTGAGCTGCCTGGCCAAGAAATATCTTTGTTCAAAAAAAAGGGAAAACTACTGCTCAAAAAAAA